ATCCATCTATCCATTTACCCCATCCGTCACGCGATGAAGGTAAGCCCGGACTTTGCGTGCAATTCATTCACCAGTGCTCGATAATTTTTTTGACCAGAAACCTTCCACCGACACCCAAGATAGCTCCAAGGTTGCATTTACAGTAACATGAGTCTGTTGACTGGTCAAGCTGCAGCTTGGGCAATGGCAGTGAGCAATGCATGACCCGAGATCTGGTCTTCCTTCCCTGAGTTTATCGCTGAACTACGTCGGGTGTTGCAACCACCCAGTGCAGGAAGGTTGGCTTTTAGACTATGTTCAGGGTTGGCAATCTGTTGCCGATTATTCTATTGTTTTCGGCATTTTGGCCGCTGAGAGCAGATTTCATGACTGTGCTTTATATAGCACATATCTTCTGCCACTGTTAGAGCACCGCCATAAAAGATGAGTTGGCAGTGTGCGACGACACGACTAACTTGGAGGAACTCATTGCACTAGCTATCCGATTAGACATCGCTGAAGGGAGAGACGTTGGGAAAAAAATTACATTGACATGATAAAACATTTTATTTTTTACATATTATTGAAATTAACAGTGGGTTTTACACCAATTTTGGATTAGATTCTGATTCGTTCAATCTGTTGTTTTACCTGAAATCTCAACCAGCCCGCCTGTCTAGTTGTGAGCCAGTCTCTTCGAATTGACTCAGAGGCCTGCCGGCCCATTGGGCATCTTCCCAGTCCACCCAAAAGGCCAGGCCAACATTAGTACAAAGGGTGAATTAGTTCCACATATCCTGGTTCAAACCAGGTACTGTAAAGTATATCACTGGAAGGCAGTGTAGTACTTGGTGCAGACAGCAGTCTTCGTGTCCAGTCTGGAAGAGTTGGGAGGGATTGGATGGAACGAAAGATTTTTGAGGCAAGGGGGTAGGTAGTGCTGCAATTTTGTTGTGAATACATTTAATTTCAACCAAGGTCTCTGGCCATGCACTTACCTAGCTGGTTTAAAGAGGACATATCGTATAAATACATCAATAAATCATCTTTCCAATTTTAGAGTAGCGAGGATTAAAATGTGTATTGTTATGGCGACCATTTATGTTCACCGTGTACTGTTTGCCACTGAGTCACACGCGCGGGTACACACACACACACCCACACACACACAACACACACACACACACACACACACACACACGCACACACACTCATACACACTCACACACAAGATGAGTTCATGAGACCTCAGTCCTACAAACACTTAAGGAATACCTCATGTTTTTTTTTCAGATTTTCTTGGCGTTTCTCTCTCGCTTTTTTTTTTTAAACACTAATTCCAAAAGGGCCATGAGGATCTTTATGGTTAATATTAATTTATGTTTTACACGTGGATGATGATTAAAAATGTGAAAATATAATTTTAAATATTACATGTCGAGTTAATAAAGGTTTGAACCTTTTCTCTCTCTCTCTCTCTCTCTCTCTCTCTCTCTCTCTCTCTCTCTCTCCAGCAGAGTGCACTGTTTCACTTGGAAAACACAACAATACTGAGTGTGCTTTACTGGAGTACTTTTGAGTTCTCATCTATACAGTAACAGAAGTACTATATAATAAAATGATGACATGTGAGAAAAACAATGCATTATTAAATTCATTTTAAACAAAAAAAACTACTCACTTTTCCATACATTCATCACTTCATAAGTTGGCAAGTTGTCAGTGAAATCTACATTTAGCAATGAATGATTCAAATGACCAAAACATGTTTCAATAGCACAATATTTGCACCATTACCAGAGAGACGCAAAGGTGGTCAGCATCTAAATACTCCCCATCGTTTGTTTTTGTTGTTAGTTTATTAGGTTTTTGTTTGTTTGTTTGTTTTTTTGCGTGTGTTATGATCAAGTGTTCTCTTAAGAGAATCCAGTCGTCAACTTCATCGCCTATCAACACACACTCACACCATGTGCAGGTGCAGGACTCTGGCTGGTGAATGTCTCGTGATTGTTACGGGCTGCCACAGCCTGTAGCGCACAATGCTTAACCTTTGACCCCCCCCATCTGGCTCTGACACCCCCTCGCACCACTCCTTGCTGTCATGATGACTTCTCAAAACTGCTGAGAAGGTCAGCAGGGGTCTTCTTAGGCTGCCAGCTGTTATTTTGATGGCAACTCTCGTGAAGTTGTAAGAGTACACTGTGCTCTTATGTACTGTATATGTGTGTGTGAGGGGGGGTGTTGGTGTGTGCATGTGTGTGTGTGTGTGTGTGTGTGTGTGTGTGTGTGTGTGTGTGTGTGTGTGTGTGTGTGTGTGTGTGTGTGTGACTAACCCATGTGGTCCGAGGAGGAATGTGAAGAAATGTAAGAAAACATAATGGCAGAGAGGTGGCAGTCATGTCAACCTGAAGGATGAAGAAGAAGAAGAAATAGCAAAGTACATGTTATAATCTGCATTTGCTTTGAAAACAGGGAGAAATAATCACGACAGTGATTGTGTGCTGTTTCCTCAACAGACTTCACTTGTGTGAAAAATTCACAGTACATCCCAAAGAAAAGCAGCAAAATTTGTATTTTCCAAGTTATTTGCATGCAATGAAATTATACATTTGCAGTCATTTCCTTTTTAACTCAACGATTTCTGTTCAATGTTTTCTTAAAAGTATTTTTACATGTTTTACAAAACGTACCATGTCTAATATTCAGTGGAACACATCATTAAAGCTTACATCCCATAACTGTAGAACTATGCTTACATTTAGCTCCAATGATAACAACCCATAGCTTAGCAACCTTACTGTATCAGCAAATGGGCATGCGCGCGAATGAACACACACACACACACACACACACACACACACACACACACACACACACACACACACACACACACACACAAAATCTATCTATCTATCTATCTATCTATCTATCTATCTATCTATCTATCTATCTATCTATCTATCTATCTATCTATCGAGCGAGCTAAGGAGCTAGCTACATAGCTATCAATTCCTTTTCTACAAAACATTTTGGGGGGCAGATAGGAATTAATCAAGGGGCGTAAAAATTCAAATTTTCAATGCACAAATTCAGTTCCTGAGACAAATTTTCGGGTGATTGAGGATGAGCAATCGATTGCAGGATTCAAATGTGCTCTTTGTGCAATCACCATCTTTGTTTTGAGCGAGTGACACAAGTTCTCCAGAAAAAAAAGCCACTTTACAACACCTTTCTTTAATTTTTGTGGTAAAAGCCGTCAGGTAAGGGAGGGATGAAAAGGTGCTTCCTTTCAAATATAGTAAAGGACAGTGTACAGTGATCCCTCGCTCTAATGCGGTTCACCTTCCGCGGCTTCGCTGTTTCACAGATTTTTTTTAGTGCAGTTTTTTTAAATGCTTTTAAACAGTGAATTGCGTTCTGCATCCTGATTGGCTAAGGCACTGACCAACGTGAACAGTCTCCGCACCTCGTCTTTGTACATACATACCCCACAATGTCGACGAAATGTTCTGCACCGGCAAAGGCACCTGAGGACGCGCTCAAGCAATATTATTTTACAGTGCAGTATTTCCAAAAACTATTATAGTTATTTGTTGAAAACATTTGGTTATTTTGTGCTTGGGCCTGAAAACAGGTTTTGGTCTTTGGTTTCATTGTATACATAGTTCAGTATTGTATAATAACTGTAAAAAATACTATATACTCACGACTTCACGGATTTCATCTATCACGGGTTCTTTTTGGAACGTAACACCCGTGATAAACGAGGGGTTACTGTATATTTCGCAATGTATCAAAACGAAGCTTGTCGTCAGTACGTCTTTATTGATTTTTTTCTTCTCCAAAGGGTAACAAATTCAGGTTTTCAATGTGCTTATTCAAAGTTAAGTAATTCAACTTCAAATATAAATTATTCAGATTCAGTTTCTGTGCCACATACTGTATTTCAGCCCACAAAATGAAATCATTAAAATGAAATGAATTAAGCATGAAAAGAAAATGAGGGATTCGGAGGATCAAAAACACCACCGCAGATTTTCCCATCATCTGTTTTATTTGTGCTCCACACCATTCAATAAATACAAATACAAACCAGCTTCATGTTCTTCATTTGAAAAAAAATCTGACAATATTACTTTATTCCAAACAGACAGGTGACAAAATAGGAACAAGTGAAACAGAGCAAAACTGAGATCAACAAGAGGCTCAAGGTTGGCAGCGAAACAAGAAGCAACAAAGCATCTTGGAGCTTCTCAATGTGATCTCAGTGTTGCCCCCCCCCCCCCCACAAAAAAAAAAAAAAAAAAAAGAAAAATAGAAAAAGAAAAACATTGACGGGTTCACTTGTGTGGAAATACACTCTAAGGGGACAAGAATCTTTTTGGTAACTCACTGAAATGCCCCCAAAACAAACAAAAACAAACGCTGTCCCTGTTTCACTTTTCTCTAAAAGTTGAAATGGGCCTTGCCACCCAGAATGATTGCTGTCATGTCTATCTGTACAGCTGTTAAACTGTAATTTACAAGGCATCACATGCACGCACACACACCCACACAAACACACACACACACACACACCAGGATTCAGACAGATTCACACATTCATGCGTGTCTTTACATTGTCCAGTGAGAGCACTTGAAGTAGCTGTAGTACAGTATCTATGGCTGTGCTCCAAAAGAGAAGGCCTGTCAGTGACATTCAACTGAAACTCACTAAACAGCCCAAAGCTTCCATTCAAATGCTGCAAAGCTGCCTTGTTAAGCAACTGACTATTTTTTTTTTTTTTTTTTTTTAAGCAAGCAAAAATCTCAGGAAAATTTCAAGACAGGAAGCAGAGGTCTGCCAGTTTGTAGCGTCTGTTTGGTCCTCTCCAAGGTCACTAATCCCTTGGAAAATTCTGTCATTCGTTAAAGTTTTCATCTTCTCATTCTCCTCCTGTGCTCCTTTCTGTCTTTTA